GAGAGAGGGAAGAGGAAAGAAAGAGAGAGGGATAGAGGGCATAAGACTAAATTAAACATTATTGAATAGTTTGTTCTTACCTGTCCTTTTCATCTTCTTACGATGATATTTTTTAATTACCTTTAATAAAAATTCGTCCCTTTTCATATCCTAAATTTGGCTTTCCCTTATTTTCCCAATTTCTTTTTTACTTTTGATTATTACATTTAAATAAAGTGTTAGGAGAAAGAGAAGGAGAGAGAAAGAGAGAAAGAAAAAAGGAAAGAGGAAAGAAGAACGATAATGATGAGGAATGTATATATGAATTTAGTAGGAAAACAACCAATTTCATTTATAGATTTAAACTTAATTTAAATATTTGACTTAGGACAATTTTATCCCTATAACTAAGCAATATGTACAAATTATTGTAATTAATTTATTATGTAGCATAAATTAATTGTAAGATTAGCTAATAGTACAATGAGAATGTATATGAGACAATGAGACAATACGATAAGAGCGCTTATTTCTTTTATTAAAATTTCTTTCAAGTAATTTGAATTGTTATGTGAAACAAAATTAAGTAACAAATTAATCAAAGAAATGATTTCGAATACAAACAGTGTTTAATCCAATATTTATTCCGATCAAATTCTAACTTTTAACTAAAATTTAAGCAGCAAAAAAAAGCAATTATTTTACTGCAAAACTTCAAAAATATCACCAAAACATTCAATAGAATAGACAAACTTTTTAAAGCATATTAATGATACAATATTGTAGGTATTAATATAATCGTAATCGTAATTGTAATAGAACAAAATTGTTGCAGATATTTAATCGATTCTTGCAATCAAACTAACCAGACTTTCATCTATCTGTTTGTCTAAGTAACTAAGTTACTAATTAGCTAGCTAGATTAGTTTGCTAGTTTACTAAACCGATGTAGAGACATTGAATTATTGATGAGAAAACAGACTACAGACAAATGCATAATATAGTTGAGTTAGTTAACTGAAGGATAGAGAGATATTAAGCTAGCTAGCAGGCTGACTAGCTAGCTAGCTTATTTGTTAGCTAGTTCGAAGTTTGAGCTTTGACCGACAATGCCGTTCCCATATCATTACAGCAAACATTACCACCCTCATCATCATCATCTCACTATTATGTTTCGATATGTTCTCCAGCTATCAACAATCACTAGTATTTGTCATTGTTATCACTATTATTATTATCATTATTTCTATTATCATCATTATTATCATGATTACACTGCATCGTATCTCTCTGAAGCTATTCTTATGCAATGCTTTTTCAATTTTTAAACGAGAAATACAATTTAACAAAAAAAAAGCTATGTGATTATAGCATTAAATGTCGTTTTACTTTTAAAGAATTTACTGAAAATTAATAAGAAGAGTCAGCATAATTTGTAAATCTAATTTGAATAAATAGGTAAGTAAATAAATAAATAAGATATTTAAATAGATTAATACATAAACAAACAAACAAACAACTCCGTTTTTCCCTAAAATCGATGATAGGATAGATGAATATAAAAAAATGTATTAGCGAAATATGACATCGTAGTAATAAGTGATGGTAGAAACGAAATATGATAGGCATAAGTTTCAAGAATTTTTCAAGGTTAATTCAAAAAAGTATCCTGCTATGTTAATTTGATATCGAATTTAGGAACAGCAAAAATCTGATATCGAATTTATCGAACAACAAAAATCTGATATCGAATTTGTCGAACAGCAAAAATCTGATATCGAATTTATCGAACAATAAAAATCTGATATCTGGATAGCAAAAGTCTCGATCTACTTCTTATTGCTAATCGACAGAGAAAGCAATTTTCTTATCATAACATCTTCCTATCATAGTTATTACTAATACAACTACCATTGCTACTACTACTACTATCACTATTCCTTGTAAAATGATACAAACAAACTGGTACCATTTATTTTAACTAATTAATATCTACTACATAATCTACTGTCATTAGTGAATGCATCATATTCCTAAAAGTTCATATATTCTAACAATCATCAAAAAATAAAGTTTTCAAACAAATAAGTGACGCTAAGAAAGTAAAGTAGGCAAGTAAATAGAAAAAAAGTAAGTAGACAAAAATGTAAATACTCATTAGCTACCATGAAACTGATATAAAAAATGTTAAAATAATATTACCCAATAAATTTATTATACATGAAAAAGTATGAAAGAATATAATAATGACATGAAACATTTCTACTTATGAATTGATAATATTTGAAGAAAAAAAAAGTTTTTTTTTAGAGAAATGTAAATAGTCAATATATATGGATGAAATGAAATATGTAAAAGTGCTTATTATTGCTTCAAGAAATGCTAAAACTGCACAAAAATTTAAATAAAATTAAGTTATAAGAAAAGGAAGAAAAAAATTGATTACTATTTAACATTCTCTCACTTCGAAGTGTCCAAAAAATTCGTTCGTTTTTTTTTTTCCACCCGCTACCAAAAATTGATATTAATCGATGGTTAATGCCATTTTCGGATATTTTATTTACTCATTACAAATTATTACTTGTAATCAAATTAAAAGTGATGGAAATTTTTCAAAAAAAAAAAAACTTTTTTCCTTTATTTTAATGAAGAATGATGGCATCTTATGAAGTTAAAATTAAATATAAAAAAAAAAACTAGCAAACAATTTCAAAATTTCCAAGAAAATTAAATTAACAAATAATAAGTCATTTAAGATAAATGCTTCAAGAATTAACTCTAATGATTAGTGATATCAAAGAGTATGCGATAAAAGTTTTCGAAATATAATTTATAATGCTAAAACATTTAGTCATAACCGAAAAAGAAAAAATATATATATATATATACAACCAATTAGTCAATTAAATCAATCAATAAATCCATACTTCAACATTATGATGAAATTAAGTAAATTTTGAGAACTATGAAAAAGTTACGAAATGACCGTGAAAAGTTTAGAAGAACTGTGAACGAACATTTTTGCGCGATTTGTTTGTTTAACAATAAGGTATTTTAATAAAAAAAAAAAAAAAAAAAAAGAAATGAAATACACAAATATATACAAATCTACACAAACATACACACACACAGACACACACATTCACACACACACACATGCACACATATATGTGTATACCCAACATCGAAATTGCTTTTGAAAACATATAGGAAACAGAACAGCTCAAAGGGAACGAATCATGAAAGATTTTATTTGAAAATTTTGCACATTATTTTATTAATACTTCAAACTTTTTTACCAGAAAAAAAATTGAGAAAAATTTTTAAAAAATTTTCTAGTTTATATAATTGTTAAGATAATTTTGATATAAAATACATTTATAATTTCTTCGTCACCCATCATCACAGTGGAAATGAAGAATGTTAGATGCAGAAAAGAAAAACAAAAAAAACCAGAATTTTTAGAAAAAAAGTGTAAATATTTTCAAATATATATTTAAGGAAAAGTTTTTATATCTTAAATTTTGCTTTTTATATTACGAAATAACAAAAAAAAAAAAAAGCTAAACAACGTCGAATGTATAAAATGTCAATCTATTTAATGATTACGGTACTTATTTATGTTTTATTTAATCTGATTTTTTTTACGGATACCTCTTCCGTCGCCGTAAAGCTTGAAATTTGCGTATCCTGATAAGGTTACAAGTTATACTGATAGTGGTACATACTTGCGGTACAGTCTCTCAAGACACACATAAAGTGTGTCTACGCGCAGGATATACTCAACTAGTTTACCATCAATCAATCTAGAAAAAGACAACTCTAGCTCTAAATCTGGGCAGATGGAGGTTGTTTACTGTAATATTCTAAGAGAAGGATATTCTAACTAAACTTATGTTCTGAGGACTTCACTGTTAATTCACCGTCCAAGCTTGCTAGATCGTGACACATAAACATTAGAAATAAAGGACGGGGGTTAGTTCCGCGCATGTTGCATCTCATCTAAAAATTCATTTTGCAAGCTAAAAGCGTGCAACTATATTTGCAGCATTTGCAACAACTGTAACTAGAGAGTCCTTTCCAAATATTCTCAGATGCTTTTCATGATGTACAAAATAGTAATATGCATATTTTAAAATTGACTTTTTTTTTTAAAATATAAAGGAGAAATATAATTTTGATAAATCTATCAGTAAAGGTTATCAGAGAAATTAATCAATTTCAATTAAAATTTTATACATAGTTATTAGAGAAATTAATCAGTGTCAATTTTGCCTATAACTGACATAATCAAACTACCGTTAAATATAATTGAAATTTATAAACAAAATGAAAGAGAAAAGAAAAAAAAAAATCCATCGCCGTTCATCGTATGCTTACTGCTGCTGTTACCGCCAATGCCGCCAACCTCCCCGTCGCCATCGTCGCCCTCGTTGTCATCATCGTCGCGGTTGGCTTCTCCAAACCGTTCAATCATGTGAAAAGCATAAAAATGAGCGAGCTGACAAGTTTACGAAGAATATATGTGTGTGTTATGTGTACTGCATCAATGCGGCATATGTAGGTGGGTCTTTATGTGTGTTTGTGTTTTTGTTGTATATATATATATATATGTGTGTGCGTGCGTTTATACGTGTGTTTGCGTGCGTTTTATACGTGCGTTTATACATTACATATATACATTATATGTATATATATATATATATATATATTAGACATATATGTGTGCATGTATGTGTGTCCGTTGTATATTGAATGTATGATTTATCTATATGTGATATCACTTAAAAGTGATTGGGTTGATTTACAATTTCTGGACATCTTCAGCAAAAAAAAAAAAAAGAGACAACTGAATAATATTACCATTATCATCCCAACCCCCAACAATGACAACAACTTCATACAAATACGTAAAATACAAACACTGCGTAAGAATAGTGACATTTTTAGAGCAAAAAAAAAATTACAAACAAAATAATAAAAAACGAAATAACATTTCAATTCCTGTCCAAAAAATTGAGAATGAAATAGTGCGAATCAAAATATCTTATAAAATTTGTCCAATCCCAACATCTCAAATTATTATCTTATCCTAATAAAGTGGTTATCTAAATGATTCATTCGTTTTTAGTATTTTCCGGAAATTTCGATTAATATAGCTTATCAATATCATCATATTTTAATCATCATCAATATTATCACATCATTAACTCACACATAAGAAGTCAATGAAAAAGCACTAAATGAATGTTTGATTTAAATAACAAATGTAAATTTATATGATTCAAGGAAGAAAGGAAGAAAGAAAAAAACGGGAAAGAAATTTTGTGAAATCAGTAAAATACATAAAATAACATTTCAAGAAATAAAAGACTAAACATTTGCTTGAAATTAATCAACTGCGAGAGAGAGAGAGAGAGAGAAAGAGACAGAGAGAGAGGAAAGGAAAAAACAATTTTAGACTAAATAAACAAATCTATAAACAAATAGATTTAAAAAGAAAAAAAACAAAAAAGGAAAGAAAAGAAATGTTACTTAAACTGCTGTTATGATGTAAATTTTGGAAAGTTTTTGAAAAAGTTATTAGAAATTCTTGAAAATAGAATTTTCATTTACAAACGATTTTTCAAGCACAATCCGCTACACCCCACTTCTCTTTCCCTCTCTTTTTACGTTATCTCTCTCCCTCCCTCCTTATGCAGAAGCAAACGTTTAACCTTCATTTTCAAATGATGAATTCATTTGAAATGAATTAAAAAAAAAGAAAAAAAGGAAGTGACTCGTCTCTAACAGATCAATGATTAAAGAATCTTTTCAAAAGAAGGTGAAGAAGGAGGAACGAAAAAAAAAGAAAAAACGAAAATGCGCAGCCGTTCGAAAACAAATTTATAATTTAAAAAAAAAAACCTTTCATTCTAATTTTTCCCTCCCTCTTCTTTCCCCTCCCCTTTGCAACATACATACACATATATACATACACACATATACGCCACATATGCACACACACACACACACGCACACACACACGTATAAACACGCATTACACATGCACACGCACCCTTATATACACACACAGACACACACACACACACACACACACACACACACATATACATGCATATACATACATATACACACACATACATCACACCTACACAAAACCGCCCCCGTGCGCGCAAAAACGACCACCCACGCACAATTCGTCTTATTATCACATTCTAACAAATCTGTATTATTTCTTCGAAGGACGTAAAAAAACGTCAAAACATAAACATGTAAAGTTGTAAAAAATAAAAAACGTAAAAATTAATTTTTTTTAAAAATAATTTATTAATTATAGTTAAAATGGATTTAAAAAAAAAAAAGCCAAATATAACAATTGTACTGTGAAGAATTATTTTAAAAAAAACACAAAAAAAAGAAAAAAAAGAACAAAGATCACATTTAAATTCAATGTTTTACTTTTTCATTAAAAAAGAAAAAAAACCTTTTAATTATATATAAATACATATAAAAAAACATAATGATTTTGATAAAATACTTCCACCATCTTTCGTCTAACTAATTTTTTTTTTTCACTTCAAAATTTTTAAATTATTAAGTGTCAATAATATGCATGTATGTGTATGTGTGCATGTGCGTATGTGAAACGGATAGTACATACGATCGTTCCCATTAATATATTTGTACTTATGTATTTGAAAACAATTAAATATTATAATGAATTCTTCCCTCGTTTCCTCAACTCATAAAACATTGCTTGAATTCCTGTTGCAATATTTAAAAGAAAGGAACCGATTCATTCATTCATTCATTTAATCGTCCATTCGTTCATTCATTCATTCATTCATCCATTCATTCGTTCATAACTTATTAGTCCATCAATCAACAAATGATAACACATCTATCATTTATTAATCCTACCTACTAAATATTCTTTAATTCATATAGAAGAAGGAAAAACGAGGAGAAAGAGAAGGAGGGGAAGGAAGAGGAAAAGGAAGAAGAAAGAGGAAAGAGAGAGAGAGAGAGAGAGGAAGAGAGGAATGACAGTGAATACATCACATCATTCAACATTTGTTACAATAACCGAACAGAAACAGCAATTATCGCAAAACTTTTTAGAAAAAAAAAAAATGGGAAAGAGTAAGAGAGAGAAGAAAAAAGAGGGAGAAAGAAAAATAGGAAGATATATAAATGATGGAAAATAGTTTAGATCGGTATTAAATTGTTAATCATTACTAATAATAATTATTATTACTACTATTCCATCATTATTATTATTTTATCATTATTACTATTATTATTATTATTATTATTATTATTATTATTATTATATTGCCATTATCATTGTTATTATTATTACTATTACTATTATTATTTTATTATTATTATTATCATTATTATAACTATTATCATTATAATCATCATTATCATTATTATTTGTTATTATTATTGTTATTATAATTATTATTGTCATTATTATTATTATTATTATTATTATTATTATTATTATTATTATTATTATT